GGAGCCCCCCTTGAAGAGGTGTCCATGGAGAAGTGGAACAGAGTTCTTCCTCCGTATGCCTGTCGTATGAGACTTAAAATGCCAGAAGGGGCTAGTAACCCTTTCTCCTGTATACATTACTAAATTTAAATAGAGAAACTTTCACTTTTCTTTTAAGGTCACCCTGCCCCGGTTTGTTGATATAATATATACATATATATGTATATTACTTATTCGTGTCGAATAAGTAAAACTTGCGGTTTTGGCTTAAATAGCAATGTTCTTCTTGCCGAATAAGAAGAGTGTAAATTTGTGTATGCAGTAGCGTCGCAAAAATCATTCTGAACCTAAAGAAAAATTATATTTCAACTGTGTTCGTTTATTATTAAATTATTGTACCAACAATATTTGTACCAACAATACCACCCCCCCAGTACCAACAATACCACCAGTCCGATAACATTCTTCTTTGCAAATATACAGGGTCTAAAGCCAGCAACAAACAACAAAATACCTTTCATCCGTGGACTGCTTGCAGAGGCAAAGGCAATGTTCGCGGCTTTCACTGAGACCCACATAAAGGATCACTTGGACAACGAAATATGGATCCCAGGTTATAACCTATACAGATGTGACAGAGTGAACAGGCAAAAGGGGGGGGTTGGCCTGTACATTGCAGAGTCACTTGTTTGCACAGAACTGCTTAATGCCTCAAATGACGTAGTGGAAGTTTTAGCAGTAAAGGTCGAGAACCAAAACCTAGTCATTGTGGTAGTCTACAAGCCTCCGGATGCAACATCCAGCAATTCCAGGAACAGCTGTTAAAAATTGACCACTGTCTGGAAAATCTTCCAGCTCCTGCACCCAACATCTTGCTCCTGGGGGATTTCAACTTAAGGCACCTAAAATGGAGGAATATAGCAAATAATATTGTTGCAGTAATAACACCAGGAGGCAGCTCTGATGAAACTCTCACTCACACGAGCTTTTAAATCTCTGCACAAAATTCAATTTAAACCAGCAAATAATAGAGCCTACTAGACTGGAGAATACACTAGACCTCATCTTCACTAACAATGATGATCTGATAAGAAATGTCACCATATCAAAAACAATATACTCAGATCACAACATAATTGAGGTTCAGACATGTATGCGTGGAGCCCCAGACCGACAAAATGAGACTAGTCACGAGGGAGCATTCACCAAATTCACTTCAATAACAAAAACATAAAGTGGGACCAAGTAAACCAAGTCCTAACCGATATAAGTTGGGAAGATATACTAAGCAACACAGACCCAAACTTATGCCTAGAACAATTAACTCGGTGGCACTCGATGTATGCACAAGGCTTATTTCTCTAAGAAAAAGGAGGAGTAGATGTAAAATAGAAAGAGACAGGCGCTCCCTTTACAGGCGACGGAAAAGAATAACAGAGCGGCTAAAAGAGGTCAATATATCTGAAATGCGCAGGGAGACACTGGTCAGAGAAATAGCAAGCATCGAACTTAAGCTAAAAGAATCCTTTAGGAGTCAGGAATCGCGGGAAGAACTAAAAGCTATAAATGAAATCGAAAGAAACCCAAAGTATTTCTTCTCCTATGCCAAATCAAAATCGAGAACAACGCCAGTATTGGGCCCCTACTTAAACAAGATGGGTCCTACACAGATGACAGCAAGGAAATGAGTGAGCTACTCAAGTCCCAATATGACTCAGTTTTTAGCAAGCCGCTAACCAGACTGAGAGTCGAAGATCAAAATGAATTTTTTTATGAGAGAGCCACAGAATTTGATTAACACAAGCCTATCCGATGTTATCCTGACGCCAAATGACTTCGAACAGGCGATAAATGACATGCCCATGCACTCTGCCCCAGGGCCAGACTCATGGAACTCTGTGTTCATCAAGAACTGCAAGAAGCCCCTATCACGAGCCTTTTCCATCCTATGGAGAGGGAGCATGGACACGGGGGTCGTCCCTCAGTTACTAAAAACAACAGACATAGCCCCACTCCACAAAGGGGGCAGTAAAGCAACAGCAAAGAACTACAGACCAATAGCACTAACATCCCATATCATAAAAATCTTTGAAAGGGTCCTAAGAAGCAAGATCACCACCCATCTAGAAACCCATCAGTTACACAACCCAGGGCAACATGGGTTTAGAACAGGTCGCTCCTGTCTGTCTCAACTACTGGATCACTACGACAAGGTCCTAAATGCACTAGAAGACAAAAAGAATGCAGATGTAATATATACAGACTTTGCAAAAGCCTTCGACAAGTGTGACCATGGCGTAATAGCGCACAAAATGCGCGCTAAAGGAATAACAGGAAAAGTCGGTCGATGGATCTATAATTTCCTCACTAACAGAACACAGAGAGTAGTCGTCAACAGAGTAAAGTCCGAGGCAGCTACGGTGAAAAGCTCTGTTCCACAAGGCACAGTACTAGTCCCCATCTTGTTCCTCATCCTCATATCCGACATAGACAAGGATGTCAGCCACAGCACCGTGTCTTCCTTTGCAGATGACACCCGAATCTGCATGACAGTGTCTTCCATTGCAGACACTGCAAGGCTCCAGGCGGACATCAACCAAATCTTTCAGTGGGCTGCAGAAAACAATATGAAGTTCAACGATGAGAAATTTCAATTACTCAGATATGGTAAACATGAGGAAATTAAATCTTCATCAGAGTACAAAACAAATTCTGGCCACAAAATAGAGCGAAAACACCAACGTCAAAGACCTGGGAGTGATTATGTCGGAGGATCTCACCTTCAAGGACCATAACATTGTATCAGTCGCATCTGCTAGAAAAATGACAGGATGGATAATGAGAACCTTCAAAACTAGGGAGGCCAAGCCCATGATGACACTCTTCAGGTCACTTGTTCTATCTAGGCTGGAATATTGCTGCACTCTAACAGCACCTTTCAAGGCAGGTGAAATTGCCGACCTAGAAAATGTACAGAGAACTTTCACGGCGCGCATAACGGAGATAAAACACCTCAATTACTGGGAGCGCTTGAGGTTTCTAAACCTGTATTCCCTGGAACGCAGGAGGGAGAGATACATGATTATATACACCTGGAAAATCTAGAGGGACTAGTACCGAACTTGCACACGAAAATCACTCACTACGAAAGCAAAAGACTTGGCAGACGATGCACCATTCCCCCCAATGAAAAGCAGGGGTGTCACTAGCACGTTAAGAGACCATACAATAAGTGTCAGGGGCCCGAGACTGTTCAACTGCCTCCCAGCACACATAAGGGGGATTACCAACAGACCCCTGGCAGTCTTCAAGCTGGCACTGGACAAGCACCTAAAGTCAGTTCCTGATCAGCCGGGCTGTGGCTCGTACGTTGGCTTGCGTGCAGCCAGCAGCAACAGCCTGGTTGATCAGGCGCTGATCCACCAGGAGGCCTGGTCACAGACCGGGCCGCGGGGGCGTTGACCCCCGAAACTCTCTCCAGGTAAACTCCAGGTAAATATATTTAACTGGATTAGGGTAAATTAAATTGCGCTTGTTATAATAAGGTTAGGTAAATTTCCTAAGGTATTTTTAGTAAAAAATCATTAATTTTTATCTTACCATAAATGAAAAAATACATCTTTAAATAAGTAAGAGAAAATTTTAGAAAGGACTCAGTTTTAAATAACTTCTTGCTATTTTACCAGTTTTACCTATTCATCATGACATATATATATTTTTTATTATCACACTGGCCGATTCCCACCAAGGCAGGTTGGCCCGAAAAAGAAAAATTTTCACCATCATTCACTCCATCACTGTCTTGCCAGAATATATATATATATATATATATATATATATAAATATATAATTTATATATATATATAATATATATATATATATATATATATATATATATATATATATATATATATAATATAATATATATGTCGTGCCGAATAGGCAGAACTTGCGATCTTGGCTTAAATAGCAACGCTCATCTTGCCATATAGGACAAGTGAAAATTTGTGTATGCAATAATTTCACGAAAATCATTCTGAAACTAACGAAAAAAATATATTTCACTGTGTTTGTTTAGTATCAAATTATTGTAAACGTCTTTAAAATATATTTAGTTGGGTTAGGCTAAAATAAATTGCTCTTGTTATAATAAGGTTAGGTAAGGTTTCTAAGTTTCTTTTGGTGCAGAATAAAAAATTTTTACATTAACATTAATGAAAAAATATATCTTTAAACGTATAAGAAAAAATTTCAGAAAGGACTTAATTTTAAATGAGTTCTTGCTAATTGACCAGTTTTACATATTCGGCACGACATATTATATATATATATATAATATATAATAAATATATATATATATATATATATATATATATATATATATATATATATATAATATATATATATATAATGCAAAACAACCACTCTGAAAAAATAGAGAAATTCCAAGCGCTTTCTTGGGTAGAATAGTTTGTGGGTGAGTTGTGCAAAGGACCTATCCAAGTTGGGTCGGCGCGCGTCAGGTGTTTAACCGTTGTGGGATCTGATAGTGAGGTGTTGGCCAGACCCCTTATATACCTTCCTTGGATGCTTTACTTTCATAGTTCCTTGATAATGTGAGTAGTCACGAAAGCGCTTGGAATTTCTATATTTTTTCAGAGTGGTTGTTTTGCATATTCCGAAATCACCTGTTTACTGTGATCTTATTGCATATATATATATATATATATAATGTATATACACAAGAAACGGTAAGTTGAGTATTGAGAAACACCAATGAGACAAATCAGCTAAAAATTTTTGAAAGCTTACAAGAGTAAGCTGGACAGGCACCTAATGTCAGTACCTGACCAGCCGGGCTGTGGTTCGTATGTCGGGTTGCATGCGGCCAACAGTAACAGCCTGGTTGATCAGGCCCTGATCCACCATGAGGCCTGGTCACAGCCCGGGCCTCTGGGGCGTTGACCCCTGAAACCCTCTTCAGGTATACTCCAAGTACCCATTTTTTTTCCATGTTGCAGGTGGAGGTGTTGTCGTGCCTCCCAGAATTCTCCACCACCAGGAACATCACACAATATAACATTGGAATCGATTTTTTGAAAGATTCTAATATGTTCGAAATTCTTGAACAGGAAGTCGGTAAGGATGTAATATAATAATATCTTTATTTCCTACAAGTACAAGGTATACAGTCCTAGCTGACATCACTGACATACTACTATATAGAAAGCCACTTGTTATGCAGAGCATTTTGGGCAAATTAGGTCAGTTTTGTCCCAGGACCACTTCTAACATACAGAGGTTAAATGACATTATATATATAGGCGGAGAATGCCATGTTGGGATGAGAACGGGTAGACGATGAGATCATGTGACTCCTGTGTTGTTGGGTGGGTGGTGCTTTGCTTGTGGTTTCCAGTGTTACGTTCTATTGTATTAGTGTTGGCGATTAGCGAGGCATCTAGACACCGTTGGCGTCTAAGGTCTTGTTGTGCCTCATCCCAGTTCATCAAATGCCCCGTGGAGTCTGAAGGTTCATACAGCCCTTGATTATCAAACCCTCAAAGAGTATTTGATGTGGTTGGCTCCTCCTTTTGGAAATAAAAGGATAGAAAATTTAATAACATAATAAGATAAACAATTTTATTAATCATTAAAATTAGAAAGAATATGAAACAATAACATGAAATTATTCCTACTTAAAGCAAAAATGAAATATATAAGTAATTATTAATTCAAAGCTAATATGTACACGAAGACGTAGTGTAAATTGGTGCAGTGCCGATGTCCTGGACACGTAGCTCTGAACAGTGGCTGGGAACGTCAAGCCATTGTTGATGAGGGGGGGGGGGTCACAGCTGGTCGTTAGTGTAGAAGCAGTGTCCCCAACACGCTTATATATTCTGCCGAGGAGAGGTTGACTGATCCTCTGAACACTACAGTTCTGTTGAGGTAGCTAAGTGACCAGTCAAGAACCACCATGAACGTTGTAGTTCCAACTGGGAGAAGGCTGCTTGAATGGTGTGTAACTGACTGGGAGGTTGGTTAAGTGTTGAAAGGGGACCAGTGTAGGTAAAGAGGTCCAGGTGACGTCTCTTATCTTTACAAGATCAAGGCTGCCCTTATCTTTATCCCGCATGAGCCGGATGACCCGAGCCGACAGTCAAGGCTAAAAAAAAAAAAAAGTGTTACACACCACTTGATAAATCACTCACACGACCGGCCTTTAAAAAGAAACTGTGAGTAAAAGATGACAACACTGTGTAAATTAAAAAAAAAAGGCAGAATAATTTGGAGTCTAAAACTCCAAACAAGAGTTCAGCTCTTATTGAAACCAAATCCCAAAACATAATAATTTAGACAGGAGTGGAACGAATACTTACAGATTTGATGGGAGCCGTAAGTCAAGTGATGAACCACAGGTCGGACTCACTCGTCACCTTTCACCGGGTGGAGAAAAGGGAAGGGCGGGGGAGGGGTAGTGGGAACTAAGCACCCACCCTAACTGAACCAGCAGACTGCTCAACAAACTATCACCATCATCCATTCAAACTTCCACCACTCCTATCTAATGAATTTTTTCCCTCACAAGTCTCTGTGGAGGACACAGGTGTACCTTAAGTCGTCTCTGTTACTGGCATTTTGATGCTCGTGCAGACGGAATGCCTGTTTCGCCTACACATCTCTTGGTACAAAATCCACAGGGGATAGTGTAAACGCCTGCTGTGGACGTTAGAGGTGTGGGGCTGCGTTTCGTAGTGAACTCTTTGATATATGAAGTGTTTATGTTGAAAACATTTATGTTACTCTTAGCAAGTTCCCGGCGAGTATTCGTGGCAACATCACCACATGGGAGCACTATGAACTGCTTAGAAGGCTGTTCCATGGGCGGTTTGTTGAGGATAGCTTGTGCCTTGAGTCTGTAATCTCAGATGAAGGAAGATGGAAACTAATAACGTGTAAAGGCTTGTGTTATATAAATACATTCTTCTTCAAGAAAACAAGGGCTGGAGATGCGAAGAGCTCTCAAGAAGAAGCTAGTGAGGACTCCTCTTTTAATGCGGGTGTCTTGGTATGAATAGAGGCGTATAAGATGGTCCTTGTTGGTAGGTTTTTCTATACACTTTGAAGAGAAGTTTGTCACTGTTGGGAGATCTGCACAGGAGGACGTCGAGGAAAGGAGAGGTCACCTGAGTGTTTGAGGTGGACTTGACTGATGGTGCCCAGAAGTGCGGAAAGGCATTTGGCAAGGTGGCCAGCTAATCTGTGTTTTGCACTCCCTGTGCACGAAGTGATAGAACATAGTGGGATGCCAGGCATGTGTCTTAGGAATGCCATACAGGCGTGCTGGTTTTTTTTGACCTGGTAAAAGTTCAAGTAGTTTCTGGCCTTGTTTTAAATCTCCTCAGTGATGCCAACACATACCAGTCTGTTTCAGTGTTACTTCAAAACACCCAAACTTTTCTTCAAAAGGCTCATAGCATCTTACGAAAATCAGAAGAAGGCTAGAAACTATTTTTTTTATATATTTTATTTAAAACATTACAAAATTACAAGGAGGTATAAAAGATAGTAAAATAATACAACAATATTGGATATGAACAAGATTCGCTAAACGTCACAACTCGAGTACAGAAAATTAGAAACACCATACAAAAGGTATTGTGGGAACTAACACGCAAAATACAAACATACCATTCACTATCATGCATTATACAAAGTGGTAATATAGCTGGCGCATACACAAAAACTGGGGTTTCCCCCCTCGCCAACACACACCTATCTAGAAATTATATCCAAATCATTCACACACTTAAATGATCACAACAGTATTCAAACATTAATTTAGGTAACTGATCCTGAACCCATCAGTGACTTAACAATGGATATTTACAAATCAATGGCGATATAGAAACACCAACGTCACAAAAACATACAAAATAACTACTATGGCAAAAGTGTAAAACTTTACACCTCAAAAACACATGTAAGGTTTACATGTAGAACATACACTTTCATTAGATAAACATCAATAATAATACTACCACTATGGAGTTCAAGATCTATTACGGCTTTGCAAAAATACATTTTATGGACATACATAGTACTATTGACAACAGTACAATACAACAAAATGTATGAACATGAAATAAATAAAAAATATCATCTGTGTGGAAAGCACATCATGACACAAAAATAATAAGAAACACGCCCCGGTTGCCCAAATTCGTTTGCACCATCTGACGTGCATCAAGGCTAAAAGACTTCACAGCTCCTAAAGGGTGTATGCACAAGCCTAAACAGATATTGCCACGTCTCCATCACATAGAGGAAGCACGTATTACACGAAATCACACAGGTGTCACTCACCTGTCATTCATAATTAAGACACTGCTGGCCAGCCCGTTATAATACGCCTGAACCTCACACTAATCTCAAATCTCGTAACTCTAAGGCTTTATACACCGACGGGAAGTCCCGCTCCCACTTCCCCCCCCCCCTATACCAACTTATTGCAACATTTAGTTCTGTAAAACGTCCCCGCTAAAACCCGAACCCTACTGTTTCCATCGACATGCCTCATAGACCAGGACACTTAAAGATAATCAGCCACGATGTATGACACCGCATGTTGAACGCTAACCTCCACCCCACCAACATCAAAACTCAACGCCCGGAGCACTGACAACCTCCTCCCCCCCCCCCCCACCAAACGCAAAACCCTACTGAACCACTCAGGTACTACACCTAAACTCTTGCAGAAATACACTACATGAAAAGCAGACTCATCCACCCCGCCCACCGGACAACCCCGGTTCTCCCCCAAACACCTGTTATACAGTACTACCCCGGACGGAAAATCCCATATAAAAATTTAAAAACCACTTCCCTTACATTAGCAATCAGACGCAGTAGTTTAACCCTCCCCCAAATATCACCCCACGCACACATGGGGTACATTCCTTTGACTAGCACAACGAAATGGAGGAATATAGCAAATAATGTTGTTGTAGTGATAACACCAAGAGGCAGCTCTGACGAGAACTCACACGCACACGAGCTTTTAAATCTCTGCACTGGTCACAGACCGGGCCGCGGGGGCGTTGACCCCCGGAACTCTCTCAAGGTAAACTCCAGGTAAACCAGCAAATAATAGAGCCTACTAGACTGGAGAATACACTAGACCTCATCTTCACTAACAATGATGATCTGATACTAAATGTCACCATATCAAAAACAATATACTCAGATCACAACATAATCGAGGTTCAGACATGTATGCGCGGAGCCCCAAACCGACAAAATGAGATTAGTCACGAGGGAACCTTCACCAAATTCAACTTCAATAACAAGAGCATAAAGTGGGACCAAGTAAATCAAGTCCTAACCGATATAAGCTGGGAAGATAGACTAAGCAACACAGACCCCAACTTATGCCTAGAACAGATTAACTCGGTGGCACTCGATGTATGCTCAAGGCTTATTCCTTTAAGAAAAAGGAGGAGTAGATGTAAAATAGAAAGAGACAGGTGCTCCCTTTACAGGCGACGGAAAAGAATAACAGAGTGGCTAAAAGAGGCCAATGTATCTGAAATGCGTAGGGAGTCACTGGTCAGAGAAATAGCAAACATCGAACTTAAGCTAAAGGAATCTTATAGGAGTCAGGAATCGCGGGAAGAACTAAATGCCATAAATGAAATTGAAAGAAACCCAAAGTATTTCTTCTCCTATACCAAATCAAAGTCGAGAACAAAGTCCAGTATTGGGCCCCTACTTAAACAAGATGGGTCCTACACAGATGACAGCAAGGAAATGAGTGAGCTACTCAAGTCCCAATATGACTCAGTTTTTAGCAAGCCGCTAACCAGACTGAGAGTCGAAGATCAAAATGAATTTTTTTATGAGAGAGCCACAGAATTTGGTTAACACAAGCCTATTTCATATTATCCTGACTCCAAATGACTTCGAACTGGCGATAAATGACATGGCCCTGCACTCTGCCCCAGGGCCAGGCTCACGGAACTCCGTGTTCATCAAGAACTGCAAGAAACCCCTATCACGAGCTTTTGCCATCCTATGGAGAAGGAGTATGGACACGGGGGTCGTTCCACAGTTACTAAAAACAACAGACATAGCCC